ATCTCATCTTATTAATGCTTAGAGTCATAAAGCAGGCTAGCATTAGAACTGATTTTCTACCTCCTTCTAGGAAGTGTTCAGAATTAATATTCCTATGCTTTAAGTTTTCATTTACCTCAGCTACCAGGAGTCCCATTCTCTCCCAGCCCATCCTTCAACTCTGGACTCAAACCCATCAGACTGTGAACATCCCCTAATCTGATTAAGTCCCCTACTCCTCAATACTTGTACTATGTGCCCTGGGACCTTAACATCAACAAAATTCCCTGCATTCCCTATCACTTCTTTGAATGCTTCCTTCCCCTTCTTAGTCTAATGGAAATGGATTTTCCACAAGAATGCAGCTTTCTCAATACCTGCAATATCCTAGTGCACATAGGCAATACCAAGGAAATGCTGAATATAAGAATAACTCATAGTGCCATTAATAATAATAGTTTAGACTTTGGGCAGAGGAACAAAGGTACCATGAGAGAATGAAGGATTCTGGTAAGGTATTCATGCGTAAGTGCCAAGTCTTCAGATCAGGTGAAAGACCATGGCTTATGATATTAGTTAGAGACTGATTTCAGAATCATCAGAAAAGAAGTAAGAGTGGTGACTATCACCTCTATGCATAAATGGATGACGAAAGAAAAGTGATTGCATACTAAGCTTCAGTGAACAATCACTTGGAAAATAAGAGAAAGTGTGAGAATTTTCAAAAGGCAGAACATAAAGAGATAGAGACATAAAGGAAACAAAGAAAAATGAAGACTAGTTCATGGAAACTTAGAGAAGAGAGTGGTATTCTGCAGCACTGGTCACAAGCAAAATCAATTGTTTTGCATTCAGCTGGAAGAAACAGAACATGTTCAGTGAGTGAATTTGGAGGAACATTAAGACATTGTGAAGAGAATGATAAAAAGGAGGAAAAATCAAAAACAAAATGGGGACAAACAGGCTGAAGATAAAATAGGTAAATTTGGTGGCCCTAAGAAGGCAATGGGCAAATCCATGGCTGCAGTCCAACCAAATAAATCAGAGAAGAGCACAGAGACAAAAGTCTCCTAAAGGAAAGTGCCATGAAAGCACAACTCCACCCTCATATGAGTAATAAAAAACTCATAAGCATATGCTGTTTATAATACTTGGGGGCAGAGAATCCTCACTCTTGTTAGCTCCTGGGGAGTAGAGAGTCAGTCAACTGTTAGATGGTAAGCCAATAAGGGAATGATGGTCACACAAGGTGGATGAAAGGAATTGAATGTCAGCTTGCCTCCATGCTGGGCACACGTAGATGCAGAGGATCAGCTGTATCTCTTTCCAACTTTAGTGTAATTCATGTAAAAACATGTTTGTGGATCTACTTTGCCTCACCTATTATTCATAGTCCCATCAGTGTACAAAAGAAAACTCAATGTCTTTGCTCAGAGGTGTGCTGGAAAACAACTGTTTGATTCCTGTTTCGTTTCTCACTTTTTAAAACAGACTACTAGAAACTGCTGATTTCCATGATGTGAATACTCCCACCACGACCAGTTTTAAGCTAACAACATGTCCCTGAAAGGGGACCTGAGTAGAGTTATGCACACCTGGCTCTGTAAGGCAGTGTGGCTGGCTCCAGAGTCAAATGTAACTGGTCTGGGCTGGGGCTGGCACAGGCCATTTTCAAAAGCCCTTCAGGAGATTTTCTGTGTAGCCAGATCTAACCACTACTTACCTCAAGTAGTGCTTAACAAACTTTTTTTTTTTTCCTTTTAAAGACCTAAGTGAGCTGACTTCTGTAGTGCTTATCAAAATTTAATGTGCATGTGAAACAACTGAGAACCTTGTTAAAATGCATGTTTTGACTCCATAGGTGCTGCTGGCCCCAGCAAGAAAGAGAAGTCATTCACAGCCTTACCATTGTCAGAAATATTTGAGAGGCAGTGTAGAGATGTCACAAACTGGAAATCCATGAATTATTTGTGACCACACCCATAGAGATGTTTCCTTTTACCCAGTTGGATTTTACTTTTTGTATTTGACTTAGAAGCCAGCATCATAAAAATCTGTATGTCCAGCTTTTCGGAAGGGGAGGTGGGAAAGCAATAACAACAACAAAAGAAGATGTGATAATCCTGGCACCACTCCCTCATGCTGCAATCCTGCCTCCTTCAGAGGAGGCAGATCCTTCCTTTTGCCACTGTTGCTTCCTGGTGATCTTCATTGCTTTGCGTTTCCTACCTCACTCCCGGAGGAATTTGAGGGGTATTCATATTTGAGTTTTTACATAACTACGTATTAAATATATATATATATAACACATAGTTAATATATATTATATATATACATATATAACACATAGTTAATATATATTATATATATACATATATAACACATAGTTAATATATATATGTATATATTTTTTCCCTCCCCAGTTGCACTTCTGGAGCACTGGTCACAAGCAAAATCAATTGTTTTGCATTTAGCTGGAGGAAACAGAACATGTTCAGTGAGTGAATAATAGGTGAGGCAAAGTAGATCCACTTTTCTGCCTCATTTCCTGCCATTCCCCACATATAAACTGTGCATTCTCGCAATGCCTTGCATGGTATTCTTGGACTACACCATCTTCTTTCTTTCCTTCAACTTGGCACTGACCCCTATTCCTAGAACACATTCCATCCTCTGCTGGAAACAGTCTAAATTATTATCTGAATTATTCTTCAAGACCCAGCTTGAACATCACATCCTTGAACAAGGCTTCCTGACTTTTCTGTGCTCCTATAGCAGAGTGGATCCTCTTTCTCTTTCTATCAAATCCTGTTTTTGCTCATTTTGGGGCTATCTCCTATTCTCTGAGGTCCTGAAGGGCACAGATATGCTTTACTCACTTTTGTATTTTGCCAGATAGAAGCTCCTCAGTAGCTTTGTAAAATAACAAATTATGGATTTATTTTTGGCTCTTACATTCTCTTGAACTTTCTTTTGTTAATTTATCAAGGAAACCTTACAATGACTATCCTGTCCTATAATCCACAAGTTAATTCTCTTTTCATATTTATCTCTAGCCCCTCTGCAGGCTCTCTCCTCTCCCTCACACTTCAATTATGGTATTATTTACTCAGTTTATAAGATTATTATTCATGATATAAATCTGGTCCCAGATAAACATAGGACACCTCCAGTTGAACACCCCTTAATATAATTAATACCTTATACTTTCATGGCATGATGAATTTTTTTTTCAAAGCACTTTACTAACACACTTTATTCTCACATTAATCTTATAAAATAAGTGAGCAATTTTACACTTCTTCAGTATTCAGAAGCTAAAGTGAAATGTTTTCCATGAAGTAAGAAGAGGGGAAAACAGAAAACTTGAGAAAAACCTTAGCAGTGCCCAAATAAGCCCTCAGGAAGGAAGATATACTATACGGACATTCTTGGCCATCATTTCCCAATATGAACAGGAGCTAAAGTTCTGACTCACTACACTTTAAAACATCTCTAATCCCTAATATTTTAATGAAAAATTGAGACATAGACGTGCTAAATTAACATGTATTACAGCCAGGTCTTTTAATTCCCACTATAAAATCCCACTTTGCATAATTATTTTCACCTTCACGAACAGAACTATAATCATCCCCAGTACAAATCAGCTTCATAAATCTGGTTTCACAAACATTTAGAAATGACAACTCATGCGCTTTTCCCCCCAAAACCAAGTTCTGTATGATAATCAAAAAAATCCATTAATTTTATGAAGTTAGTTTCACTGAGCAACTTTAAAATGCCCAAATACAATGATTGCATCAGTGTGCATAAGAAAGTTTCTAATCCATAAATCAATGTCTTACTTTCCACATTGTGTATTACTTTCAAGTCAATGCTCTGTATTCAATGTTTAATGCTTTTTTGAAAATATTTACATTATAGATGGGATAAGACTAGAAAACTTTAGCATTCTGACTCACTAACAGCAAACTTGGTTTAAATTAATGGGTAAAAAAGCAATGCTCACTATCTCAAATTGGTAACAGTAGGATGAATAGGATGAAACACTCTCCATGAGTTTAAGGGAATTAGTAATAGAGGTAGAAATAGTAGAGATTGAAGGCACAATGATCAATTTGTCTTCCATTTCCAACTATTTTGATGGAAATAGTTGATCAACTATTACCATCAAATCTCTTACATTTCCATCTATTTTGATGGGCAGCAAGAATACACACAACCGTGAAAATGAGGAGGCCCATGGTGCACCATAGGCACTGGTGAGAATGCCACACACTACTGCTCATGGGTTTACTCCAGGGCATTCCCCAGCTGTGTCTCCCTGGAAAGGCTGGATCATCAGGAGAAGTATGGTGTCTTTTTTTCCAACCTCCACACACTGCTCCCAACTCAGTGACTCCACCTCTCCTCTATCGTTTTTGTTCCCATTATATAGAAGGAGGAGAATGTCAATTCTCCTTTTTTAATAGTCAAGAGCTCATCAGTTTTGTGTTCCTTTTTCCTGCGTGACACTTAATACAGTTTTTTAAAGGACTAGCTCAATTTTTTTCTGCACATGAATTATATTTGTTTTAGAAGATTATAAAATCCATGTATATGCTCATAAGTACAAGAACCTGTCTGGAAGCAACTGGGAAGGAGGTTTAGGGAATGATGAAATGAGATTTTTAACGTTGGTTTGTTCAATTATTTGAAATATTTTTATCTTACTTTTCGTAAGAAAACTAGGGGAGAAAAACCTGGTAACTACGGAAAAGGGAGCTGAAATAAGAGGAGAGAGGTGCGACTTCCCACCTCACTGCTCGGGACTTTTCCCAAGACTTTCACCAACCTCTGTCTCTAAGCCCCAAGGAGGAAGCGCTGGATGGGAATCAGAGGCGGCAAAAAAATTACGTCCAAGTGAACACAGGTGGCGAAGTTCTAAGAAAGAGCACCAGATTCATTTCACAGAGAAATGTAAGGAAGTCCCCCGAAAGGCAGAGGGTTACGGGACAAGGAGCGGGCAGGACTCTTACCCCCCAGCCAGTTGTCAGAAATATTCTGCAGCATGGTGACAGGGATGCAGAAGAAGGTGATGAGCAGGTCACTGAGCGCCAAGGAGCAGATAAAGATGTTGGTGACGGTGCGCATGGCCTTGTTGCGGGTCACCACATAGAACACCAGAGCATTGCCAAAGAGCGCCAGGGCGAAGATGAGCACTCCGGTGAGCACGAAGGCCAGCTTGGCGCGCCCAGGCAGCTCGGGGGTGTAGACGAGCGGTCGCAGCCGGTAAAGAGCGATGAACTGCTCCCGCGTCAGGTTGTGGTCCCGCAGCAGCCGGGTGAACTGCTCCTGGGTGATGTTGAGCGCCTGCATTGCTGCGCGCTCCTGGGACGCGGGGCCACCGCCCACTACTGCACGGTCATCCGCGTCCGTGGCGCGGCGAGGGCTTGCGGGGACCAGCAGGTACGCGCCTCCCTTCCTCTGCTAGGGATTCTGGCGCGCGGGAGGGCTTTCGGCGGCACTCCGGGCGGTTCGAGAAAGGAAAGCAGCTCACGGATAAAACGCGAGATAAAGAGGCGGGAAGCCAAAGCACCGGAAGGCTCAATCTCAGTGACCAAAAATGTTCGCGGTTCAGAGAAAGTTCCTTCCCTGCCCTTCCCTAAAGTGCGGTGCTGCGATGGTCCGGGCTGCTGGAGCGCCACGCGAGGGTCCCCAGCGCCTCTGGCTCCCCGCCTTCTGGCCACGAGAGGCGAACGCCGACCAGTTGGGGAAGCGGCAGAGGGTGGGGCTGAACTCGGCGACGCCCCCCTCACAAGGACCCTCCGAGGCGCCAACCTTCGCAGCATCCTCAGGGCGAGGGAAGACTTCCCTGGCTCCCCACCTTGCTGCCGCTCAGCGCCTTTCTCAGTGCATGGCCTCAGTCAGGGCATGCCTATATGTGGGTATTGCGGATTCAACATTTTCAAGTTTCTCCTCTTGCGAAATAATGGGAGCCACAGCTACCCAAAGTAAATAAGGTTTATTTGAAATCATTTCTGTATTGAAAAATAATTAGAATAGTTAATATATAGAACATGAGAAATTGCAAAGATAATACGTAAATATCCTATGTACCAACCCTTCACCCAGTTTCCTTCATTCATTACACCTTATTTAATTACCGAACAATACAAAATCCAGGAATGTAACACAGATACAGTGTTTGAATATTTTTATCTCAAGTATAGAATCCTGTAACCACCACCCCAATCGGTATACAGACTCTTCTATCACCATAAAAATCTCCCTGGTGCTTTTTATACTCACACCCAGCCCCTTTCTTCACCATCTCTGAGTCCTGTCTGCTACTAATCTGTTCTCTCTCTACTTTCATCAGAACATTATTTAAGGGAAACCATACAATATATTTCCTTTTGATATTGAGTTTTCTTCACTTAGCCTAAGGCTCTTTAAATCCATGCAAGTTGTTGCATGTTTTAATGGATGTTTCTTTTTATTGCTGAGGCTGTATCACCATTTATTTAACCATTTACCTCTGGTAGGACATTTTGATTACCATTTTGAGCTATTACAAATAAAGCTGCTATGAAGAATCATGTACAGGTTTTTGTGTGAACATAGTTTTTCTTTCTATGGTAAATGCCAAAAGATTTTGATTATTGAGTCTGTAATATGTATATTTGATTTTTAAAGAGATTGACTACTTTTCAGAGTGGCTGTACGATTTTACGTTTCTAACATCAATGCATGAGAAGTTTCGTTTCTTCACATCCTTGCCAGCATTTGGTTTTGTCACTATTTTTTTAAGCTTTTTTAATAGGTGTGTAGTGATACCTCTTTAGGGCCCTAATTTATATTTCCCTAATGGCAAGTGATATTGAACATCTCATGTGCTTATTTGCTATCCTTCTGGTGAAATGTCTTTCCATGTGTTTTTTCCATTTTTAAATGTATTGTTTGTTTTATTTGCTGTTGAAAGTTCTTTTTATATTTTACATACAAATCCTTTGTCAGTAAGTAGTTTGCAAATATTTTCTTCCAGTCTGTAGCAACTTTCACAGAACAGTTTTTAGTTTTAGTGAAGTCATATTTATCAATTTTTTCTTTTATAGATAACTTTAAGTGTTCACTCTAACAACTTCACCAAAGCCTATTTCCCAAAAACTTTCTCTTAGGTATTTTCTAGAAGTGTTACAGTTTTACATTTTATGTTTTGGGCTCTCTATTCTGTTGAATTGATCTCTGTGTCTATCTGTCCTCCACATTCTTGACTACTATAGCTATGTAATAAGTTTTGAAATTAAGTAGAGTGATTTCTCCTACTTTATTCTTATTTTCCAAAATTATTGTAGCTATTCTAGGACCTGTGCCTATTCATATAAATTTTACAATCAACTTGTTTATGTCTACAAAAAAACCTTGCTTGGATTTTGATAGGAACTGATACATTTACTAGGTTGAGTTTTTCAATCCATGAGCAGAATGTCTTTCCATATATTTAGATCTTTTACTTATTTCAATAGCATTTTACAGTTTTCAGCGTTTAAGCCCTGTGCATATTTTTAGATTCGCACCCAAGTATTTCATTTTTTAGGGGCATTAGTAAATGGTACTGTACTGAATTTCTAATTTTTGGTTCCATGTGTTCATTACTAGCATACAGAAATCCACTTTATTTTGTATGTTGATCTTGATTCCTACAATGTTGATGAATTCACTTAATTTTAGGAGGTTGATATGGTTTGGCTCTGTGTTCCCACCCAAGTCTCATATTGTAGTTCTTTTCATAATTCCCATATGTTGTGGGAGTGACCCAGTGGGAGATGACTGAATTATGGGGGTGGGTCTTTCTATGATGTTCTTATGATAGTGTATGGGTCTCATGAGGTCCGATGGTTTTAAAAACAGCAGTTGCTCTGCACAAGCTCTCTCTTTGCCTGCTGCCTTCCACATAAGACGTGACTTGCTTCTTTCTGCCTTCTGCCGATTGTGAGGCCTCCCCAGCCACATGGGACTGTAAGTCCAACAAATCTCTTTCTTTTGTCAATTGCCCAATCTTGGATATGTCTTTATAAGCAGAGTGAAAATGGACTAATACAGAAGCTTTTTTTGATAGATTTCTTGGAATTTCTACATAAACAATCATATTATCTGAGAAGAGAGGCAGTTTTATTTCTTCCTTTCTGATCTGCATGCTCTTCATTTTCTGTTTTAGTTGTTTTGTTTGGTTGTTTTTCATTTTTATTTTTGCCTTACTGCAATGGTTGGAGAACACGGTTTACCATGTTAAATGGCAATGGAGAGTGGACATCCTTGTCTTGTTCTCAATCTTATGAGGACATATTCAGTCTTCTTTCACCATTAAGTATGATACTAGTTGCAGATATTTTTTATCAACTTGAGAGTTACTCTCTATTCTCAACTTGTTGAGAGATTCTGTCAATGTTGTTAAATTTTGTCAAGTAATTTTTTTGCATCGATTAATATGATCATGTGATATTTTTCTTCAGCCTGTTAAAATGGTAGATTGCATTGATTGATTTTTGAATATTGAATCAGCCTTGAATATTTGAAATAAACCCCACTTAATCATGGTATGTAATTCTTTATGGACATTGCTAAATTCTGTTAGAATTTTAAAGAATTGTATGTGTATCTTAATGAGAGCTATTGGTCTGTAATTTCTTTTCTTTTTGTATTTTGGCATTCAGGTAATAAAGCATTCTCCCTTTTTCTATTTTATGGAAAAGATGATATAGCATTGTTATTAATTCTTCTTTAAAAGTTTGGTAGAATTCTCTAGTGAAGCCATGTGAGCATTATAGAAGTTCCTAAATGTTGGATTTAATTTTGTTAATACTATAGTGATATTCAAATTTTCTATTCTATATTGGGTGAGGTTTATTTTTTAAGAATTGATAAATTTCTTTCTAGTTTATGTATGTAGAGTTGCTAATAGTATTCTCTTCATAGCCTTTGTATGTCCAAAGGGTATCCCCTGCCTCATTCCTTATTTTATAATTTTTGCCTTCTCTCTCTCTTTTGTCATCTAGTTAGAGGTTTGGCTATTTTATTGCTTTTCACAAAGAATTAATTCTTAGCTTCACTGATTTTCTCTATTTTTTTCTCTTGAATTTCATTGATTATCTGCTCTTCTCTTTATTGTTTTCTTCTACTTGCTTTCAGTTTATTTTGCTACTCTTTTTCTAGTTTCTTGAGGTAAAAAGTTTAATTATTGACTTGGAACTTTTCCTCTTTCCTAATGCAAGCATTTAGTGCCATAAATTTCCCTCTCAGCATTGGATTAACAGTGTCCCACTTGTTTTATATGTTGTATTTACATTTTCATTCAGCTCAGTGTACTCTTTAATTTCCTTTCACATTTTTTTTGACCCATGGGTTATTAGAAATGTGTTATTTAGTTTCCAAGTGTTTTAACATCTTTCTGCTATTTTTCTGTTTTCGAGTTCGACTCCCTTTTGGTCAGAGAATATTTTCTTTATAATTGCAATTCTTTTAAATTTGCTGAGGTTTGTTTTATGGCCAAGGATATTATCTATTTTGGTATATGCTGCAAGGGCATTTGTAAAGAATGTGGGGCCAGGCGCGGTGGCTTGAGCCTGTAATCCCAGCACTTTGGGAGGCCGAGGCAGGTGGATCACGAGGTCAAGAGATCGAGACCATCCTGGTCAACCTGGTGAAACCCCGTCTCTACTAAAAATACAAAAAATTAGCTGGGCGTGGTGGCGCATGCCTGTAATCCCAGCTACTCGGGAAGCTGAGGCAGGAGAATTGCCTGAACCCAGGAGGCAGAGGTTGCGGTGAGCCGAGATCGTGCCATTGCACTCCAGCCTGGGTAACAAGAGCGAAACTCCATCTCAAAAAAAAAGAATATGTTCAGATGGTAACTATTGAAAGAAACCTAAGAGAAGTTGTCCAATCATAACCCACTGTAGCATCAATGGTTCACATCTGTGAGTCCAATTCTCTGACTAGGGGCTGAAGGTTTGAGTCATAGAGGATGGCTCTCGAATGACATAGGAGCCACATAGATGGAAGACATGCCCTGCCTCTCCCTGGTCCTTGGTGTTAGGATCAAAGAAGGTCAGCATCATATCTGCAGGCTGATTTTAGCCCTGGGTGACCCAGAGAAGAAATCTCAGGACTTTATTAGGGCCAGAGCAGGTCTTGTATGACTGTGGGGAATGCTCCCGTGTGAGGCCCCTAGGAAATGGGCCTCACCATATGGTGAGCTTGAGCCCGGACACAGATCCCCGGTTGGGGGAAGTAGAGCTGAGGGAAAGCAGGAACTGAGAGAGGGACTATGCTATTCAAAATAATTAACAGACAGTACTTTATGGATATGAGGACATGGGAGGCATTGTGTCCACTTTCGGTCCCTTTTGGTTT